TTTGTCGTTTTGCTTAAAAGTGGCGCTGAGAAGACTCTCTATCATAACAACCTAGATATTTCTATTAATTTCTCTGGCTGATCTCGATTTATTTTTGATTACTGAAGTATCAGAGGGACATTGTAAAGTTCGACTACTCTAACAGTAGAGACAAGCGACAAAAATCAGTCGACAGCTACGGATAAAGTTACGGTAAGACACGAAACGCAATACTCAGCGCAGATCGCTAGATCTGCCTTTCAGATTTCGCAGAAAAGGTGCAGAATGACCCAGCTGTCACTGGTAGCGTGAAACTAAAAAGGACATACATTTAAAACTACCAAACCGCCGTCGATCGTGATTAAATAGCCACGGATACTGAAGTCGATGCTATGATTGTCATGCAACCAGATGATGTCAGATTTACGTGGCTGGTTTAGCGCACCGCCGTGCCCGTGCTGATTCTGGCAGTTGAGGTGTATTGTGTCGCCCGGGTACAGCAGCTTGGTCAAGCGATGCGGTTTACGGGCACACGCCGGTTGTCGCGGATTGCGAAACGACATCTGCACCCACCTGAAGAAATAAGCGCTTACGAGATATCAACACAAACTCGGTGCAACCGTGACCACGGCCATAGCCGCCGCAGTCTTTAGCTTTTACCCATTTTTCAGACTATGTGAATCGTGCTTCTTGTAGCATTGGTTCTTCTCTGACTTCCACGAGCAGTACGGGTCGTTGGCACACGCGTAACATGTCGTGTACAACGAGCATTGGGCGACGTCGAACTGAGCCACCTCCGTGTCGTATGCGATGTACAGAAACTGTTGCTAGAAAACACCACGACAAATACAACGAAACCTGAACGCAAGTCTGAAACAATGATCAGATCGCAATTAAAGCGAAAACCACAAAATTAGTTCTTCTCAATATAATTGCAAAAGATTATTCCTGACCTTTGGTTATATGGTTATGTTTCACTGTGCCATGGACTGCGCAAGCAGAACTACAACAGTCCGCACAAAACCGGCATCATTACTTTACGTCGCGGCGTTAAGTGACACAGGCGGCGTTGAGCAGCCCTCTTCCGGTGTTCGTTTATTCGCATTTTCAAGGACCAACAAATGTTAGCGGCAAAAATGTGCCTGCACGGAGTGCATAAAACCGGATGAACCTGTCCATATGCAGTTTGCAGCGCTACTTGGAAAGCGATAAGGTATCTTACGCACAGTGAACTCATATTTTCTTAAGAGCATAAAAAATTGTCAGATATGTCAAGACGTCGGATATATCAACGAAAGAACGATCACCTGCTTCGGGATGATTTTCTGAGGGAAACATACGAGCAAATTCGGTGCATAAAAAGTTTAACCAGTAATTGCGTTTGCCAACAAGAAAGTGCTCGATTAAGCAAATCGTAGCAGTTACGGTGGCTTTTCCATAATAAACATGCATAGATGATCGATAATAAAATACTGAGCGTGCGCATTCCCTGAAGAATCCTATTTTATGCTCATGTCCTTCAAAATTTTAATGGTTGTAACGACGTGAACTTAGCTAACATCATGACATAATGCAACTGCTGAACAGCTACTCGCAGTTCTGCAAAACTGCTGAACCATCTTTCCTATTTTACTTTGTCAAGTAACAGTAGAATAAGCTCTAAGCAACTAGAAACAGAACATCATGTTAAGCATACTGACACCGAAATCTCGTCAGCTGATAGTT